TCCCAATCCCCTCTCACCGCAGGTCTGTTTCTCCTTGGGGTCGGGGGTCGCTGACTTCCTGCGTTTCCGTTGGTTCCCGAGGAGGCTCCGGGCCCGGCCCGGGCGCTTCGGGCCCAGCTGGGGCCCCCCCGGGGGGCAGCACAGGGACGGGTGGGGGGCAGGCACTGGGATATGGGGGGGACAAATGGGGTCAGGGACCTCAAACCCATCCCAAACCCATCCCAAACCCATCCCAAATCCATCCAGGGAGCCCCAAATCCATCCCAAATCCCACCCTGGGGGGGCAGGCACTGGGAAACAGGGGCACAAATGGGGTCAGAGATCCCAAATCTCCCCCATCCATTAAGGGGACCCCAATTCCTGCACCAAATCCCTGAAACCCCCCACAGATTTGGGCACTGTGCCCCAAACCCAGAGCAGAGCCCCAAGAGTTCCAGGGTCGGGAACTTTGGGATGACCCCAAATGGAGGAGGTGACCCCAAAGGGGGAAAACAATCCCCAAAGGGATGATCCTAAATAGGGGTGATGACCCCAAATGGAGGTGATATTCCCAAATGGGGGGAGTGATGATCCCAAAAAGGGGATGGTGACCCCAAATGGGGGTGATGACCCCAAATGGAGGTGATATTTCCAAATGGGGGGTGACGATCCCAAAGGGGGGAGTGATGATCCCAAGGGGACTGACGATCCCAAAAAGGGGATGGTGACCCCAAATGGGGGATGGTGACCCCAAACGGGGGATGGTGACCCCAAACGGGGGATGGTGACCCCCCATGGGTCCCGTACCTGATTTGTGGGGGTGGCCGAGGCCGGGCGGGGCCCCCCCGGGCGCGCGGGGGGTGACGTAGCGGATGGACGTCTCCTCCAGGTACTTGTCCACCAGGTCCGGGCACACTGGGAATGGCATTGGGGTGGCACCGGGTGTCAGGGAATGGCACCGGGATTGGCACCGGGATTGGCACTGGGATTTCAGGGAATGGCACCAGGGTTGCACCAGGAAAACCCCACTGGGGATCCCAAACCCACTGTGGATCATCCCAGGATTGTTCCAGCAGCTGCGCCTGGGGTGTCACACACAGCACATCCCAAAGCTGTGCCAGCCCCGATCCCAATCCTGATCCCAATCCCAGTTCTGATCCCGATCCCAGTTCTGATCCCAATCCCGGTTCTGACCCTGATCCCAATCCCAATCCCGATCCCGATCCCTGGGCAGGCTCCAGCCATGGCTCCCACCCGGCTCAGGGGTCACTCACCAGCCCAGGGCCCCTCCAGGGCTGACACACAGAACAGTGTCACGATATAGGGCAGCCTATCGTGATATAGGGCAGCCTATCGTGATATAGGGCAGCCTATCGTGATATAGGGCAGCCTATTGGGACACAGGGCAGCCCGCTGTGATCCCAGCCCTTCTATCGTGACACCAGCCCCACCTACTGCGACACCACAGCCACGTATCTCCATATAGGGCAGCCTGTCACGACAGCAGCCTCCTATCGCGACAGACTCACCTGGCTGCCGCTGCCTGAGGCTGCTGCAGGGCAGCAGCTCGTGGTGGGCGATGTGACCCCATATATCGCGACACATCGTGACATATCGCGACAGACTCAGCCAGGCATCGCCACCTGAGGCTGACACAGGGCAGCAGGTCATGGTGCATGATGATGTCACCCCAGTACCCCATATATCGCGATATATCGCGACAGACACTCACCGG